TGCACAGGGAGTTGGGTTAGTGACCCTGAGGCTGAGCTTCTCTAGCACCTCAAACCTCCTAGCAGTTCCAAGGGAGGAAGATGGACATTTTTCTCCCATGATGCCCAGCCTCCGAAACCCATTAGAGGGTCAGCTATGAGTTGGTTCTGACTCTACACCAATGAACCCTAGTTGAAGAATGAGGTGGGGCCTGTTGGTGGAGCCGAGCCCGGGGGGCTGCCATCCCCAGTCCCGCTCGCATCGCTGGCGCTGAGGCACCCAGCAGGGCCATATTTTGGGGCCTCAGAGCTGCTGACTTCCTCGCTGGAAGCGTTATGTCTCAGAGGAGCTGCAGGGCCGGCTACAGAGACAGGTTTTCGAGGACATCATCCTGCACTATTAACAAGTTACTGGGTAAGAATGATCTTCAGTGTGAGCCCATAAGATACAAAGTGAAAACCACAACGTGCCAAACAGACAGGAGAGGACAGGAGGGCCCTGCAATGACGGCGAGGTTCAGGAGATGGCCCAGCTGAGGATCAAACACCAAGAGGAGCCGATGGAGCTGGACAAGAAGCGTGGGGAGCTAGCTCAGCTGGTGATTGACCTGAATGACCAGAGCAGCAGAAGGACAAGGAGATGCAGACAAACGAAGCCAAAATCGTGGAGCTGGAGTTCGAGTGCCAAGAGCTGAGCTACAAGCTCCAGGACCTGGAGATCGTCCACCAGACCCTGAAGGACAGTACGATGCTCTGCAGATCACCTTCACCGCCCTGAAGGAGAAACTGAGAAAGACCACCAGGAGAACCAGGAGCTGGTCACCGGCTGGATGGCAGAGAAGGGCCCAGAAGGCCACCCGTTTGAATGCAGGGAAGGAGATTATAGGCTTCGAGGAGGCAGCAGGGCAGGCCTGGCTGTAGGAGGAGCTGTTGGAAGCGGTGAAGGAACCCCTCCCCTTCGAGCAGGCCCAAACCAGGACACATTCATGTGTGTACCTAGAGACAAAAGCACAACTAACTTTCTCCACTTTGCTTTGGCTGATTGCCTGCTTCTCAAGGACGACGACATTGAAGTCCTTCTGGACAAGAACTCTGGACGACCTTCTGGATGACCACCCCAAAGAACCCTCCCCTGTGAGGACCGTCTAGCAGAGCATCCACGAGGTGTTCCGTCTCATTGTCCGCTGTGTCCGCAGACAACATTGACACCCACCTTGGCTCCGGCAGAGACGCGAGGGCGCCCAGCACTGCGATGTGTGTCTTTGACACACGATGGAGAAGTAAAAGCTGTGCAGTTCAGCCCTGGGTCCCTGCTGCTGGCCACCATGGTCAAGCTCTGGGAAGTGTGAACACAAGGGCTCCCTCACTGGCAGTAACGCAGGAATTACAAGCATCTAATTCGATAGTGCTGTTTTGTACCTCTTAGCCCCTTCAAATGATTTCACAAGTAGAATCTGGACAGTGGGTGTTATTGTTTAGGGCACACAGTCACGGGACACAGCAGAAAAGTGCTGTCTGCCAAATTCCTGCTGGACAATGCACGAAATGTCTCAGGAAACCACAACCGGACCCTCAAACTCCAGGATCTCTGCAGCACAGTCTCCTTAATCTTTGAAAAGGGGGTGGGGGGGATAGTGATCTCTAGTTGCAATGATATTGTCTGCACAGAACAGCGTTTCATGAGCAGATGGTTCGACAAGAAGATCCGGTTTGGGGACTTACAGTCTGAGAGTATAGTAAAGAGATGGAACTGCTGGGCAAGGTGACCGCACTGGACCTGAACCCCAAGCGCACGGAGCTCCTTACCAGCTCAAGTCCAGCGACCTATGGAGTCAGGTAGTTCTTCAGCGTCCCAAGCTTCAAGCACAGCTCCGACTGGACCCAGGCCGTGTTCAGCCCTGATGCCAGCTTCATGACCACAGGCTTGGCTGAGGGTTCTATGTCTACAGCGTACTCACAGGCAAGATGGAGAAGATTCTCTCCAAGCAACACAGCATGTCCGTCAAGGCCATGGCCAGGTCTCCGTTTGGCTCACACGTGGTCTGTGTGGATGAAGGAAGCAAAGCTGTGCTGTGTTTGGAGTACTGACAACATGGAGCTGCAAGCCATGTCTTCTCGAAAGGAATGGAGTGGACTTTGGTGACTCTGTCTATGCTCTGAGGGGCATGGCCTGCTTCCTGAGAGTCACACGAAGTCTGTGTGTCTCCTGGCACATCCAGAGGGCCAGCTGTGGCCTGTGGCCACCAGGAAGCACTAGCCTCGAGCCTGCATACCTGACCAGGCAGAGTGCAGGCCTCTTGTCACCAGGAGCCCAGCTCCTTGTTGGACTGATATGCCAAAACAAACACCAGGTGGGCCAGCCTGGTCTTTGGCCATCACCATTTCTGGTCTGGCTGTCCCCTTGGGGTCCCATAAACTGTCTCCAAGCTCTTGGTGCTCGGGAACACAGCACAGGCCAGCTCTGTGTGTCTCATCACTGCTGAAATGGCCTTTAGCTTTCAATCCATTCTTGGAAAAACATGTTTTCTTCAGAGATTCTGACCCCCCTGCCTCCCCCTCTTCCTCCTCTTCCTCACCCCCCCCCCATCCTCCAGGCTAGTTTCTTGATGCAGGGCTCTGTGTTCTGTGCTGTGGATCAATTATCAGGCTGCTAACTGAAAGGTCAGTGATACCGAGGGAGCCACCTGAGGCTGTCCATTCTCATATAGCCTAGGAGTCCCTTCCGACGGCCTTGCTCCTGTCTGTGGGGCCGCTGTAGTAAGACCTGGCTCAGCAGCAGTGACGGAGGTGTAGGGTTGGCCATCTTGATAGGAAAGTAAACTTCAGTTTGATGAATCATTAAACAAACAAACAAACAAAAAACCCCACAAAACCCCCAAGAATCCAAAAGAAATTGTAGGAGGAGTTGTGGGTCAACTTTGCCAGAAAAGGCTGGTAAAGAATGTTCTGAGAAGATCTACAGGATCCTGGAAGGCAGGAGAGAAGGGGGGTGTGAAGAATGTTCTGGAAGGAATTGCAGGCCACACCTCGTTCCTTCTCGAAGTATCTAGGTCACAGCCTGGTGACACAGGGTCTCAGGGCCAGGGCTGTCCTGAGTGGCTGGCTGCTGCCCATCAGCCAGGTTGACATCACAGCCCTGGTGCTCACTTCCAGCCGGGCCTCGAAGCAGGGCGGCCAGAGTGAGATCAGCCTGTGAGTTTTCTCTCTGCTATTTTACCTGTATATAAAATTCTAGCTATTTGTGTGGGTGTCAAAAGCACCAATGGTTTTATCACCTTTATTTTTGTTCCTTCCACATGCGTGTCTAGAGAGAGGTGGGGGTGAGGCTGAGGCCTTAGCTACAGAAGGGGCATCCCAGCCCCCCTCCCCCCCCGGGCCACCCGCCCACTGCCCTTCAGTACCATGTGGAGGGACCAACACTCACAGGTCAGGCCAATTATTTATTTATGTCACCCAGTGAACTTGATTGTAAATAAAAAACAAAAATTCATTGTATAAAAAGAAAAAAAAATCAGGTAGAATTATTCCAGGTGGATGAAATTGGGAGCTACATCTCCACTGGTTCCTTGGTTACCTTTTATATATTACCACCAGGTAAGAACATGATTTTAAAAAGAATCAGCTAGTTCACGGCAAGATACATTTTTAGAAAAGGTATAGGGAAGGTGGAAGAACAGCGCAGGAGAGGAAGACCTCAGAGGAGCTGGATTGACATAGTGATTGGTCTATTGGGCGTAGGTGTGTCGAGTTAGTAAGACTGGCTCAGGATAGGGCAGGATTCAGAGCTATTGTACACAGGGTCACTATAAGTAACAGGTGACTCAATGGAACATAATAACAGCACAATAACATAAGGCAAGACTAGAAAAAGGGAAAACAATGGTCAATAGGAAACTTCTTGAACTGAGTGAAGCATTTACAGATGGACAACTGTGTCAGAATCACAGGACAGAGAGGAAAACAAAATTGCAGATGTCACCAACTCCAGGTCTTCTCACTTAGGTTTGAGGTTAAAGAAAGAGGCCATTTAGTTCATTGGCCACACATTTGCTAACAAGATGAGAAATGTAATACTAGTTAATGAGACTGACAGGCATTTCAAATACTTACTGTATTAACTGTCGGGCCATCCCCAAAATCCGCAGTTCCAATCCACAAGATGCTCTGAAAGAAAACGCTGGGTAAACTCCCACTATAATGATTTATTGCCTGGAAGTCTTTATGAATCAGAATCGACTTGATGATAGCAGTACTTTTGAAGAAGGAAAAAGAAGTCCGAAGCTAAGGTGCAAATGCTGGACTTGAAGCTGAAAGGTCACAGGTATTGGAAAGCATTTAGGATTTCAAGCCAGCATACATGGGGTTGTCCAGAGTTGAAGTTCTATACCCCCTAATAAGGCAATTCTGACTCTGGCTGGGGAACACAGCAGAACTGCATTACAGCATTTCAAAGCTTGTGAATGTGTGCAGAAGCTTTCTACCTACCTCTCTTCTGGAGAGCAGTTAGTGGGTTGGAACTGTGGACCTTCTGGTTAGTAGCCAAATCACTGAGTCACTATCAGGGCTCCAGAGTTGGAATGCACTTAACAGGGTAAAGAACAGCCAAGGTCATATACGGATTGGCTTTGATCTCCTACCTCCAAAAAGTATTTCCTAGCCTGGAGAGTGGCAGGTGGAGCCCAAGTTGGGCTTGTGGCCCATGGGCCACAGGTTCCAGCGCGTGGTGCCTTTCTAGAAACCCGACAGAATCCAAGACATGCTGACTCTCTCCAGGAGGCAAATGCAGACACGGGGTGGGGGGGGGGACATCAACTGGGGGCCAGGGAAGAAAGATCCAAGTCCACTCCTGGGCACTGGGTCTCAGGGCTCCCTGAGCTGCGAAAGTGTAACTCAGCTCACGAAGGTTTGGGGTCTTACCTCACCTGAATCCGTGCTCTGTTTCCAGTCTTGCAAAGGTGGTGATGTTGGATCCACAGGCTTTACAGTCCCAGCCACCTGCTCAGCTCTGCCTTTCACCCGGGGTCACCTGGGCTCTGCCCCTCCCCCCGGCTCCACCCTCCGCGAGGCTGAGGCCACGCCCCGGCTCCCTGTGAAAAAGAGCCAGACATCACAAAGCCAGTGGTGCGGGTCCAGGCTGCTGCTCCCTGCTGCGCTCGCCTCCCAGCCTCTGTGCAAGCTTCAGGGCTCCACTGGGAGCCAGCGGTCACAGCTGAATTCCATCCCCACCTGAGGTTCGCCTCCCAGCCGCTGTGCAAGCTTCTGGCCTCCGCTGGGAGTCAGAGGTCACAGCTGAATTCAATCCCCACTTCAGGTTCATAAAACAACAACAACAACAAACAAAAACAAACCAAGCCCTGCAACGAGGATTAGAATAACATCTTTAAAGCCCAGGGAACTGGAAGTTTATGGTGTTCTCTTAGGATCTTTTAGAAATAATAAAGCACCAAATTTTAAGATGTGAGAAAATCCAGGAGTCTTCTGATCCGAAAGCGGCGCCATTCAAATCCACTAGATGCTCCTTGGGAGAAGTTTGGACAATCTCCTCCCCTGCGAACAACAATGCTTAAAAAACCCCCTCAAACTCATTTTTCAATTTCTCCAGCGCTGTTGAAACACATGCTTCGCTGGCGCTCTGAACCTCAACCTGGCTGCTCGATTACTCAGCCTTGCTGTTCCCCAAGGCTCCTGCTCACAATCTTTGGTTATGTGGTTAACTCAGTTATTACTTCCAACTCAGGGGGACCCTACCCTGCGCCATCCTCCCAGTCTCCCCAGTACAACTGGATACTCCACTGTCAGCGCCCGCTCCTCACCCCACCCTCCCTCCAATTTACGAGGAACTGAACTTGTTAAGGATTTAAAAGCTTATTGAACTGCTTTGTTCTGGAACCACTGTTTAAACCATTATTTTAAGGTGCAAATATAATGGGAAACTTTGGTTTGGCACATGGAAAGTATCCCGCCCACCACAGATTTAGCTTTTAGAGCATCCTATGATTGAGAGTGGAGAACAGCAGGCCAGCAGTACTAACCATTGTCCAAGACACTAATGTCAGAGAATATGAGACCAACCATCTTTGAGAATTAAGGTAAGAAAGTATTGCATCTCAGAGCTACTACTTAGGCTTGGGGAAGAGAACAAGCATGGAAAAAAATCTGAGCAGATTAAATTATAATGGTACATGCCTTAAGTATCTGATGGCTTTGTGACGTGAAGGATTATGTTTCTCACACACTTAGGGCATTTGCTAGGAGATGCTGTTCCTTGGAGAAGGACGTCATGCTTGGAAAGATGGAGGGACACTGAAGGAGAGAACGACCCTTAACTAGGTAGATTGACCCAATGACTGCAACAATGGGCTCAAGTGCGTCAGAGATG